CCGTCTGTTGGTGTGAGCACCCGAAGGCGACCTCTGCGATCTCTCCGTCTGTTGGGGTGAGCACCCGAAGGCGACCTCTGCGATCTCTCCGTCTGTTGGGGTGAGCACCCGAAGGCGACCTCTCCTTAAGATACCCAAGCCTCAATGACTTTACTTCATGCTTGTGGGAGTGATACTAAATCCTCATTACCATCTTCAGACCTGTGTTATGTTAAAGTTTAAGTCTAAAGACCTTGCATCATATCTATTCATGATTTTAGCCATCATGTTCTTGTAAGGATTATTGCTACCTGCTATGGTATTTGTTACTTAGTAGTAACTGATGTTTCTGCATATTGGTTTCGTTTCTGACTGGTTTTACTTTCTGAATTGCTTTCCATTCGTTTCTAAACAGTAGCTATCTGTTTTTCCCCCTATTTGTATCACTTAAGCTAAGCATATAATATGTTGCTACATGCAAATTTGGTCAGCAATCAACCCAGTCGGTTTGAGTCTATGGATCGGGTAGATAAATATGATCTGAGGTTGTGGTAGTAGCTCTCCACGGCAAACAGATGATTTGAGGTTGTGGCTGTAGCTCTCTACAGCGAACAGTGCATCTGTTTTGAGTATCCTGTCACTTTGTTGTGGTAGTCGCAATGTCGTAGCGGGAACGGGAAAAAACACAAGGTCATCTCCAGCTATCCTACTCCTGCTAGTGCTGCTGCTACCTCATTGGAAGGGACGTGTCTTGTGCCATCCGACCCAATCAACAGTCACTATGTGAGCTCTTACTCGGCCTCAACTGGTGGCTTCCTGCGCCAGCTTCCTTGGTACAGTCAATTGTTGTCTTCAGCAGTGGTCCTTGGTACAGTCCATTAGCAGTAGTCCTGTGTGCTTACGTGTGGATGCTGGTTCGGCTCGGTGTTGCTTCCAATATTCAGACATGCTGGTTCGATGGCCGCGGCCGTAGCCACCACATTATTTCAAACTTTAAAGCTTAATCAATCAATCCCTCCAATTAGTTTGTGTAGGATTACAATAAGAGCCTCTTGGATGCTATAACACTAAATCGTAAATCTTGTGCTAGCCACTGTTCTGCCGTAGCCGTACATCTTCGGCAGTACTGGATCATCTTAGAATATTCGTGGTTTGTTTTCCTGTCAATTTAGGCGGTTGTGGGACAGAGAGGACGCACTTGCATGGGCGACCGACCATGATGAGGCCCTTGCACGTCGTGACCCTGAGATAACGCTGAGACATTGATAGCTAGTGAACTCGGCAACATCATGCAAGTGGCGGGAGACATCGCCGAACAGGTCCGTTATGTATGCATATATGCATGTGCGGGTGGTTTGGCAATGCGGCCTTAGGCATTTCTAACTAATCCCTAATAGACAGTGGAGTATCCGGTGAAGGAAAAGTAAATTTACTCCATTAAGTTTGGCCAGACTTAACCGATCCCGCGACGATGGTGACCAAGCTGGTACGGCCAGTGAGCAAGCCGGACACGCCTGAAGTCGCCGGCCTTCTCATGGCCACTGTCCTGTTGGTCGGGGTGTTCGACAGGAGAGCACCAGCAGCGTCAAACCTCGTCGCGCTGCTGCCCAAGACCTCGCTGCGCCGCTGCCCAAGGCCGCACCGCACCAGCTGACATGTGTGCGTGTGTTGTGGAAGGCAATTCAACAAGAACAGTGATGTGTATTGTATTTTCCGGGGTTGATCAGTGCTACATCTATTGGATTGTTTGAAAATTGATCAGTGCAACTATGTGGAGGACGGCATGGACATCTACTCCGGCAACAGCTACTCCGTCCTGCTCACCACCGACCAGGACCCATCGTCCAACTACTGGGTCAGCATCAAAGCTCGCGCCGGCTCTGGCCCTGCTCTCAACTACCAGCCCAACCGCGGGTTCAAGCTCCTGGCCATCGCACCACCGGTGACCCCAGCGTGGAACGACACCGCGCACAACAAGGCGTTCATGAGTCATGACCCAGATCAAAGCTCGGGTCGGCACGCCCCAAATCGCCGGTGACATCGAACCGTCGCATCGAGCTGCTCAACACGCAGAACAAGCTGAACGGGCACATGAAGTGGTCCATCAACAACATGTTCATGGTGCTCCCAGCAATGGAGGCCGCGACAGAGCTCATCCATGGAGGCCATGGCACGGAGCTCGCCGGAACTGCGGCCAGTACGGGCACGGGCACGGCATCGCAGGCCCGGCAGCTGAGCGCAGGAGCAGCAGGGGGAGGCGAGAGAGGTGCGAGATTTTTACTCCGAGACGGAGTGGTGGAGTAAAAATAGGAAAGGGATACGGGTCGGAGTATGATTTTTTACTTCCTTATGACGGATTGGGGATCGGTTAGGTACGCATTATAGAGGAATAACGAGATAAATACACTAATGGTCACTGAAGTTGAGGTCAAAACATGATACGGTCACTGAACTTCAGAATACGCTCAATACGGTCATGAAATACGAGTTGCGATGATTATACGGTCACTAATTCATCGTAGAGCTCTGTATTCTATCTGCATGGACCTGGTTGACTAGTCAAATAGCCTTTTTTTGACATCCAGTGAAGGTCCCATCTGTCAGCTGTCGAAATAAACAAATAAAAAGCAAAATCTAATCGCGCGGATGAAGATTCGAACCAAAGCCCTGCCGGTCACAGACCGCCTGGGCTAACCAGTTGAGCCAATACATATATTGATTTTCATATAAATACCCATACATGCACCCACCGACCCACGGATTCCATGTACACAACGCATGCATGCACATACATACTCGGATGCATGTGTTGCAACACACCTACACGTCCATCGGGTGGCTAACCAAGTCACCCTAGTCTTCAGGAGCTGCCGTCCACTTGTGCACTTCGTGAGCACGTCCCAGCCGCGCGCATGCAGCTCTGGGCCTGGCTACGTGCCGTATATAAGGCGACGTAGCTGCATGGAGGCGTGCATCACCCTAGTCTCCAAAACTGTATATGAGCATATTGTGATGATGAATACAATCAGGGTGAGAGTTACATTACTTAGCTGGCGTGCGCCATCTAAGGCGACGCCCGGTTCATCGTGCTGCGGCCAAGCTTGCCCACGACGCCGTCCTGCGACATCTCCTGCAGCATGTCTTTGTCGTTTGTTGCTCGACGACTGGCCGGAGACGAAGGCAACCGTGCGGTGGCGCGGTCCCGGACTTAGAGCACTGGACGAGACGGGAGCTAGGGCCATCAATCGTGACAAGGTGATGAGGTTCTTGAAGGGGCTGATCCGGCAAGTGATCAAGAGCGACTCGAGCAAGATTCCATACATGAGGGCGTCAACATCAAACTTGTCAAGCCGAAGCGCGTTGGCCGTAGCAGGCAGTGAGCAGGCCATGCTGGTCCCGCCTCCACGCAGCATCATGTTGAGTCCGCACACACGCAGGAACACACACCAGCACGCACACACGATACACACACGATAGAAAACAAATCACACACAACACACACGCGCACACACAACACAAATGCAACACACACACATACACAACATGCAGGCACTAGCAGGCAACGTTTGGTTCGGGAGCAAGCGCTCGCCTCGCCCAGCCCAGCAATGAAGCCAACTGTTTGGTTCCTCGGTGAACTCACCTCGTTGCCTGCGGTTTCAAGATTTTTCTGCGTTCCAGCGAGCGAGCCGATTTGGCTAGCCTTCGTCGGCAAGGCTAGCCTTGCCTAGCGAGGTGAACTGGCAAAGGATCCATATGGCGCCGTGGCAAGCGTGATAAAAGAAACCTTTACACAGAAGGATTATGTCAAAACGTAGCATAGGAGCTCTTTTTTTTTCGAGGTAATAGTAGAGTAGCTTATGTACAGTATTAAAACAGATCCTCAATATGCTGGCAGAAAACGGGGTTGTCCTGGTTGGCTAGCGCGCGAGGTTTACTATCCAGTGGTCTCAGGTTCGAATCACAGTCTCGCAGGAATTTAACCGTATAATCATCACAACTCGTATTCAATGATCGTATTGAGCGTATTCTGAAGTTCAGTGACCGTATCGTGCTTTGATCTCAACTTCAGTAACCACGGTATTTATCTCAGAAATAAAACTGATTATTTACTCCTCTAACGCTGGATAGGTGGTTGGTTAGAAATGCCCTTACGGCATGAGAACTTGGAGTCCCTGTTGAATGTACTCATGAGTACATGTAGTACCAATGCTATGAATTTATTTCTCATGATCTCTCTTACTCGAACATGTTTTGCATGCCTTGATTGATTCCTGTGGGCATGGTGGCTCACAAGCAAGATGACAGATAAAAACTCAACGTAAAAAACTTGACGTCCGGACATACGATCAGAAACGACCCTTCTTTTAAATCTCAAGTGTCAACCTTTGTGGTTAATATAAAATTAATGGATATAAAGGGGTGATGAAAGAAGAAGAGGTAAATACACCAGAGGTGCCTAAACTTGTCCGGGGCGGTCACTTTATTGCCTAAACTTGCAAAATATCAAAAACTGGTGCCACAACTTGTCCATTTGGTGCATATATGGTGCCTCACTCGTACGCCGCCGTATTTGCTTGCCGCGTGGCCTGACAGCTGGCGGGTGGCCCACAAGTCAGTGGGTGGGAGCGTAGGAAGAGATGAGTCGGACGCGCGCAACGGTTATTTTCCAAAAAAACGGAGCTTTTATTAATTAACGCAAAAGAGTCCCTCCAATGGCGGGAAGTGATTGCCCGGTATATTTGCGCATAGGTACCCATCGGTTCGTATCCTGTCTCTGCTTTCTCACTCACGATCAATCTGAGGCGAAGGTGGCGGAGGTGGTGCGGCACAGCGATCGGCGGCGCGATGCGATGGATGACCCTCGCCATCATCTTCCAGGCGAAGCAGCTCCTACGTGTGGTAAGTCACACCCTTCCTGTTTTCCCTTCATCCTGATTCTCTGTTCCTCGTCCATGCGTATGCGTCGGGTAGGGTTTGTCGGAGCTAGAGTAATCTTTGCCGTGCTTGATCTTCACCTTTCTTCCATGGTATGCGCGATATATGTGTATGTGGACGGTTGCGGAGCAGATATGGGTGCATTGATCCTGATTTTCGCTAGGGTTTATTTGGGGGTTTTGAAAGTAGGACCCTTTTCTGTCAGCAGTTGTTCATGCTTATGTGCGCAACAAATTAGGCTACAATATTGCTGATATATGATTATTTGTCTTGTTGGTCATTGCGCCTCAGATTTGGAGAATGTTCGAACTAATTTTTCAGAAGATTTGTAACTGAATTTTGTCTTCAGTTATCGTACAGTAAACTGAATTTTGGTGACACCTGATGTACACTTAAACTGAATTGTGGTGACAGGTTATGTACTGAATGTGTGCACTGCACAGAACTGAATATATGTGCTCAATTTGTCCATTTGGTGCATATATGGTGCCTCACTCGTACGCCGCCGTATTTGCTTGCCGCGTGGCCTGACAGCTGGCGGGTGGCCCACAAGTCAGTGGGTGGGAGCGTAGGAAGAGATGAGTCGGACGCGCGCAACGGTTATTTTCCAAAAAAACGGAGCTTTTATTAATTAACGCAAAAGAGTCCCTCCAATGGCGGGAAGTGATTGCCCGGTATATTTGCGCATAGGTACCCATCGGTTCGTATCCTGTCTCTGCTTTCTCACTCACGATCAATCTGAGGCGAAGGTGGCGGAGGTGGTGCGGCACAGCGATCGGCGGCGCGATGCGATGGATGACCCTCGCCATCATCTTCCAGGCGAAGCAGCTCCTACGTGTGGTAAGTCACACCCTTCCTGTTTTCCCTTCATCCTGATTCTCTGTTCCTCGTCCATGCGTATGCGTCGAGTAGGGTTTGTCGGAGCTAGAGTAATCTTTGTCGTGCTTGATCTTCACCTTTCTTCCATGGTATGCGCGATATATGTGTATGTGGACGGTTGCGGAGCAGATATGGGTGCATTGATCCTGATTTTCGCTAGGGTTTATTTGGGGGTTTTGAAAGTAGGACCCTTTTCTGTCAGCAGTTGTTCATGCTTATGTGCGCAACAAATTAGGCTACAATATTGCTGATATATGATTATTTGTCTTGTTGGTCATTGCGCCTCAGATTTGGAGAATGTTCGAACTAATTTTTCAGAAGATTTGTAGCTGAATTTTGTCTTCAGTTATCGTACAGTAAACTGAATTTTGGTGACACCTGATGTACACTTAAACTGAATTGTGGTGACAGGTTATGTACTGAATGTGTGCACTGCACAGAACTGAATATATGTGCTCAATTTGTGCTATGCAGTACAGATGTACTGAATGTGTGCAGTTGTATGTAAAGTAATGAATAATTAAGTGTTTAGTAAACTAAATAGATGGATGTTGTGTACTGAATAGGTAACTTATTCTTTTGTACATAAGTGAAATCTGTGTTGAATATATGTGCAGCATAGTAATCTGAATATTTGTTCTATTTTAATAATGCAGGGCTATTTGATGGTCTGTTCACAGTTCAAATCCATCACAAGGGATATTTGTGTGGATCTGGATCTGGTAGCAACATGAAGTATATAGAACATGAAGTGGACCGGTTTGACTACTGTCGGAGTGATACTTGGTCTAATTTATGGATAGATGATTTCCTTCTCCAACTATCACTCTTGGTCTAATTTATGGATAGATGATTTCCTTCTCCAACTGGGCCACGACAGAGTAAACTCCAAGATGGATGTGTATTGGTGCCAACCTGGTAAATATTTTTGTGATGGGCTTCACCTGATGTCATGTGATGCAGATATAGTGCTCATGATTGCTGCAACAGTAGAACACAAGAACTTGGTCGTGCTGGTAGACCATGGTGACACTCTGCAGTTACTAAACAATGATGATGATGTGTTGCTGCATGGACTGAATGAACCAACAAAAGTAATAACTCCAATTAAGTCAGGAAAGGGCAAAGAAAATGTTTGCTGGTCTGAAATACCAGAAAGTGCATGAGATATTAGTTATAGCAGAGCAAAGAGTTTCATCCCATTTGATGAAGGCTCTAGTTCTGGTATTGGTAATGAAGAATTACAGGCTGAATTTGACAACCGTGAGAATGGTGACAGTACAAGCTCTGCACGCGTGTTGGTCTGTTTATACTCTTTTGCGATAATTAATAAAATGTCTGTTATACTATTTTGCGATAATTAATAAAAGGTCTGTGGGTTTTCTAGAAAATAACCGCTGCGCGCGACCGACTCGTCTCTTCCTGCGCTCCCACCCACTGACCCGTGGGCCACAAGCCAGCTGTCAGGCCACGCGGCAGGCAAATACGGCGGCGTATGAGCGAGGCACCGCATATGCACCAAATGGACAAGTTGTGGCACCAGTTTTCGACATTTTGCAAATTTAGGCACTAAAGTGACCGCGCCGGACAAATTTAGGCACCTCTGGTGTATTTACCTCTTCACAAAAATTGCACATCGAACGGCACTCCAAAATCAGAATCGGATAAATAGCTTAAAGGTCAATAATGCTTACATGCGATACACCCGAAACCTTCCCTCTTCGATGACCCCTATGATAAGCATCTCCTAAAGCTACACGGATCCCCCAAAAAACACATGACAAATGTCAACTCGGCAGCTGATAAATAGCTAGGAGGCTGGCGATGGATGAACTACAGTACTATACACAAACATTCCCAACATGAAGGCCCATGCGGCAAAAGATACCCACGGCTAGGTCAGGCTGCCCACTAAACTGGTGCCACTACAAGCTAAATATACTAACGAGGATCCCCTGGTGCCTGATGTAACCTGCCTGCACTGGACCAAGCTGTTAATTTGACCACACATGGATGAGGCCTTGATGGTTGCCGGTGATGATCTCCTCGCGCTCTTCGTCGTAGTACAGAGATGTGATGTCGCCGAGGGCCTCCAGAGGCGTACACAGGAACTTCGACGACTTCTGTTTGCACAGGTTCCCTGCCTTTATCTTGGCCATACATTTCCCGGTCAATATCTCGCTGATGTTAATAGAACAGGCTGCACAAGAATGCAAAGTACAAATAAGATCATGCAGGGATAGGTACTGGCATCATCCCCATGTATCTAAGGTAGTAAGTTAGAGCAGATTTTCTTCGAGCATACATTTGAAAACGTGAATTCAAAACAAAAAGGCGCATTAGGCAAAGTGCCCATGCATCAACATGCTTCCTGACGCATCTTTCTTACTAAGTAGAGAATCTATCGAAAGCATCACACGCAAAATCAAGTGATTACCAGCTACTCAAAATAAACACCTATTCTGGCGTTTGTATGACTGTTAAAACAGAGAGATAAAACTTTGGTGACACACACTTGATCAGCACTGAAATTGCATGCATGAATCATCAAACTGGTATAAAACTAAAAAGCTCGGGAACACTGCCTCCCGTCAAAGAGAAAACTGATAGTGCTTGCGACTAAATCTAACATGAGGAGTATAATGGATAAAGGTAAATGCATTGCCAGGAAGGATTAGCAACCATAACAAATCAATTAGCAATTAAACACATCAACAATACATGCTGAAGCACCAGAAAGTTTAAATTTTTACCATTGTCCTCTGAAGATGGATCATCCGGTTCAGCTTTGCAGTAAGAGATAATGAGGTCTTGGTTGCTAGTTATGTAAATACTGTTTGTATTGCAATCAGGATGCCACAACAAATGATCCTCAAAGGATGTCACCAGTTCACCACGGAAATTCCAAACTGATACCGACCGATTACGGAAGGTCAGGAACAGCTGCATCTCGTACAGAAAAATAAAAGCTGATGGAGTCACAAACTCATTGCTGCTCACTTCTGTTATCTTAGAGTTTGTTACCTGCGGTATTGCATGGAAGTTTGTTACAAACAAGAAATAGAAAATTGTTTTTCTTATTTCCCTTGACCTATAATACACAGCCAATGCTTACATCAAGAATTTGAAGGTTCTCCCCGTCCTGCTTGACTAGAAGTTTTTCATTGAATTGCTCAATGAAATCAATCTTCTTGTTGCGGTGAAGAAGATGCCTGAATGACTTCAAGCGCTTACCATCTTCAATAGAAAGAATCTCAAGAGGAATGTAGCCCTTTTTTCTTGAGTATATCAATAGCATTATACCAGGGCTGTGAGAAGGAAATAAGAAGCAATAAGGCACAACTAATTTTGGCGTGAATAGAAATGTGCACAAGAAATAAAACTGAATGTATCCAATATCTCTTGAAAGAAAAGAAGTACACTAATCCCATCTCGGAAGTCGCAAAGAAACAATTATCTTGTTCCCACATGCTGAATAATGCACATGTGCTTGTCCTTAGATCTTTACATAATAAATACATCCACAAGGACGGTTCAGCAGCACGGCTTTTTTCGAGAAGACGGGAGACTAGAGACAAAAATACTTGTTTATTCTTTGTTGTTTTCCTGTTAAGACTTAAGAGGTAACACTGGCATCGCTTATATACAGTCCAGCCCCAAACAATGGTTAGCTAATGGACATTTGGATCAATTAGGAGATAACAACCAAACCTAACTTAATTTGGAGAACTATAGACAAGCCATGCTTTGAGTTATCCACTAAACCTTGCATGGTACCGTTTCACGTGGTACAATTCACATGAAAGGTACCCCTGTTGCTGCTGCACAAAATAGTGCAACAGATATGCTATATGCGATGTCAATCCTGCCTGTAGTGACAATCGTTTCTACAAAGAAGCAATAGTGCAACCACGCACATTTTTTTAAACCTCGGCTATCGTAACCTACAGGTAGGGATTGAGAATGGCACTTCTAAATGTGCCAACAATATCAAGTTATAATTGTACCATTTCTATGGACTATGACTGGTTTCATAGAAAACATTAAATTTAGTAAATGATAGGAGCCCATTTAGAATCAAAGCAGTCATAAGTATCTCTTACAAAAGAAGATAACTTACCATTCAGCCATGAAGTTAGGATCCATTTAGCATTGTGGTGGATTATGATAGTCCTGTGGGGTTGAACTGCTTTTAGATAATTTAAGGTTTAGTTACTGCTTTCTGAGATAATTGGGTGTTCTTTTTTTATATATAATTGAGATAATTGGGTGACTAGTACTTCTAAATGAGGAAAAAAAGATGTCAAACAAAAATATTCTGTCAGTATTGCACGAGAACAGACAGGTGACATAGAAACAAAAAACAGGATCATTGCGCAATGTGAACAATGTAAATTAGGAAAACAAACCAAGAGAGATTTCCTTACCTGATTTTTATCTCTTGAACATCTTTATCAGATATCGTGTACAGAAGTGTGTAGTTCTTCAAGTCAAACACCTTGTAAGTACTGTTTTAGATGAGAACACAGTGTCATAATTTGAACAAATATATTTTCTCCATATTAGAAAGGTAGGTAGTTCAATCACCTGTCTTGAGCAGAGTACGTCAGCACCTTTCCGTTTACATCATCAAACTCCACAAAACCTGGCCACCTCAACGATTCTGTCTCAAAAAGAGGGAAACCAGCATCTGGCTTTCCACGGCGTATATACCTTGAGAGTAAAATGCCGTTTAGCTATAATATGATAAAAGTAGGAAGGCTAGCAGTGTAACAGGATCATAGGAAGACAAACTCACTCGATTCGAGTTGTCCTGCATCTTAAAGCACTGAAATTTTCAGAACCATAAACTGATACGGTTATAAGCGAGTCATTGTTCTTGTTATAAAACAAACTACGGATGACTTCATCTGGACTTCCATTCAGAAAGCAAATCCGCTGGTTTGTCACTGGAAACAAAGAGAATATAAGAATAGTTGTTTGAACCAGGACCAGTCATTAACAAAAGCTCAAAAGAGGCGTACCTCTACTGAATGCAGCACATACTCCCAGCTGTGATAAAGCAAAGATAATATCACGGGCTCCAACTATCTCAATAATTTCAGACCGCTTCCTCAAGTAAGGTAGTAGCGAACTGTTCTCCTTAGGATCATATGTATCAAATTCTTCCTACAAATAAGAATGAGAAAAACAAAACAAATCAAGAATCCTAGATAGCATGTGGTATGTCACTGGCAGATTCACACTATCAGGCAACTCAACACTGGCAGAGCATTAAGCGCCAAAAACTGAGTGAGTGAACGGTAGCAAACTTCACTGGTCAAGGTTTAATCTCAAAATAGAGTGAGTGGGCAGACTAACTGAATCAGCCATTGAAATGTAGCTTGTGAAACCTATTCATGACTTCCATGTTCTCATAGTTACCTGAAATGTTATCCTTTTTCCAAGACTGGGAAATTGAAATGCCAAAGCGAGGCCTCATGGCCCAAGTTCAAATTTTTTTCATCAAATTATAAGATGCCCTCCTATACAGACCAAATTATCCCAGTGATGGCCCTCCAAGGCATCGACACATTGGAATACAACACCAGGAAGCAATCCTTCCTCCTATTAGTGTCATCCAATACACTGCTATTGATGTGATTCCAGGATGCACCCTAACAGCTCAGTCAGACAGTTACTTCACCAAAAGTGAAGCTGGCGCACAAGTAAAAGGCTGTACAAACAAGCAGTTCTTGCACAGAAAAAAAAAACTAATTTTCTCCTGTTAACTGTTAAGCATGACCGAAGGCCACAGTTCCTCCTCGCCTAGCACTCATACATCACATCGCCTAGGCCCATGGGCGGAGACAAGCCCCAGGCAGCCCGGGCGGCTGCCTGGGGCGTGAGGCCCATCTCGCTCGTACATGTAGCGAAGGCGGCCTGGGGCGTGAGGCCGATCTCGTTCGCTGCCTGCCTCAGCTCTCTGCCTGTGTCCCCTGAAAAAAGAAGCTGCCTGAACCAACCGGCTGCCCGCCGCCCGTTCCCCCGACTTGGACGAACCCTAGGCGTCAGGTGGCTGTGTGACCTGCGTCCTTGCCCACCGGCGAGCCCGCTGCCGCCGCCTGCCGGCTGCCGTCGTGCCTACCCAGCCGACGAGCCCTGTCCCTTCGATCCCCTTTTGGGGCATCAGTTTGCGCCGCTGCGGCGCTGCGGGCTGCTGCCCTGTCCGACAAGGCAGCGACCCCGGCGAGGCGGCAGGCTGCCCGGCGTCCGGCGAGACGCAGCACAGAGCAGACAACAGAGCAAGAGCAAAGATATCCCTTCCTAGTTCTCTTCGATGTATTGCTCTGTTCGGTGGAGGCATGGAGCTCTGTTCTGAACTTCTGATGTATAGCTTTTAGCAACAGCAGAAAGGGCATTCTCAACAATGAGCATTATCAAGACTAGATTGAGAAACAAAATGTGTGATGATTGGATGTCTCATAGAATGGAATGTTACATTGAGCGAGATGTATTTTTTAGTATTGAAGAATCAAAGATCATTTAGCGACTTCAAGGTTATCGCAATCGCAGATGCCTTTCGCCTTGTCCTAGCCGTAAGCTTTCACATTTTACATCTGTTATTAACTATTTTTATCTGCTATAATATGCATTGATTTGCATTTCAAAATTTATCATTGAAGGTTTAGCTTCTTCTGCTATTGATGATGTAGTCATGGGATGCTCAGATCAACCAATCCTTTGATTTGGTATCAATTTTATATCAATCTTTTATATCATCTCTATGCTCTACATATTGTCTTTTGATTTATCTTGCTTTATTAGTTGACCCATCAAGGAACAAATGCTGCCATTGAATATTATGTTTGGTTTTCTTATTAGTTATGCAACATAGATTGACTTTCATATGCCTTGAAACTGGGGTTTTTTGGTAGTTTTTTGCCCTTAGTTTCTCGCCTGGGGCGTCGGCCAATCCTGGCTCCGCCACTGCCTAGGCCCCCTGGTTCCAACCCCTCCGGCAATCAGAAAAAAGCAAAGATCTTTAAGCAACTCCCTCCTAAACCCTAAACCACCACCAACCCATGCCAGGCACTGCCAATGACGCCCACAATTGACGAGGAGACACCCGGGGAAAAGGCGGACCTGGAGCTGGATGTTGCGGAACCGCTCCCGCGTGGTGCTGGCGGCGAAGGTGCGCTCGGGGAATGCGGCAATCTCCCGGCGCTGCAGCTTCCGCGCGCTGTTGGAGGACGCATCCGGCCTCGGCCGCTTCTTGGCGGTCACCCTCCGCACGCCGGAAGGCCGAGGCCTCGCCTCCATCTCGATTCACCCTCCGCCACCCCCGATTCGCCCTCCTCGCCGCCAACGAGGGGTCGCGTCACGCCGAGGCGCCGGTGGGCATCTCGCCGGAGGGGAGGGGGGCAGGGGGTTAGGGTTGAGGCGAGCCGGAGCTGGACGCCCTCGCGGTATCACTGAATGGGTATCCTGGAATCCGAGGTAATTCGGGGGCTTTCCTATAAAAGTCGCCTGTAATGAGGGCCTCCGCTCCGTGGAAGGGGGTGTCGGGCGGGGGTGGCCTGGGCCGTGCCGTGTCCATCCAACGGTGGAAAACGCGTACACGTAGTTGAGTCGCTGATCCGCCTTCCCGGTTGGAGCCGTGTGTGGCGCCGTGTGTTGCGCCTAGGGCGTACAATCAAACTGCCGAACAGAGGCCACATCGTGCACGGAAAATGCCAATGGCGCCCAAGCTCCCCGAGCTCCAGGAGCTCGGTATTTTTTTAAAAAAAGTGATATTTTAAAGTTTTTAAAAAATTCCACGGAAAGATATCGCACGAACATGTTTTTTTTAGCCAACATGTGAAAAAGCATTTGATTTTTTTGTGTTTTGTAGGCTGTAAAAAAACAAAATTCCGGCCCAACAACAAAAAAATGCCCATCTTAGAAATACGTACCCCTAAAAATACTTAGAAATACGTTTTTGGCTTTTTTCTGTATGCCACATGTGAAAGTATATGGTTATGAATTTTCGCACATACGTAATACACATGTGTATGATTGTTCATAAATAAATTCAAAAAAAATATGAACCAGCTATGTTTGGATGGTTAGGAGGACAATGGTATCCCAGCCCACTAGGGTTCAAATCTTGATGCTCGCATTTCAGAATTTCCGGCGATGCGCGTTCAGTGGGAGAAGACATTCTCGTCGACTACGAGACGCATGTGGTGGGATAAATATATGCGCGCATATATGAACGCTTGCACGTCTGTACCGTGTTCTAAAAAGTTCACATTGTAGAAATTTGGTTTTTCAAAACGAGCTCCCTAGAGCTCGACCTCCAAAAACCCTCACCTCCATCATATGCTGCTAGTTGATTTGCTAAACCTTCTCCTTGCCAAGGGCCAAAGAAGGTGTCGACACAAGCATAATGTATCAGTGCTCCAGTCGTGTCGGCGACAATTCATCCCTAAAGGCATCCAATGCACTCCTTCACACGTCCAACACATCCGCGAATACAGATACGAAAGTAGTCCATCCATGCTATCCACCAAACATTCACCCCTATTTTTTAAGTCGGCAAACTAAAGTTGAGTATATAATTCTTCGAGCAAGAAAATATTCAAATACAACACTGGTTCAAATTTAAATATTATAATTCAAACATTAAGTTTTCAAATAAAATAGTCAAACTTGAATTCAGCTTATGTTCCAGTTGTATATTTTAACCGCCCACAGATGCTCAATCAGATCATTCTTAAACTGATCATGAATTGCTCGATACCGAATCTGTTGATGCATTTGGACAAACTCCTCAGGCAGATGGATTCTGAGCCCGTTTGTGAGAATTCAGACACACGGACACATCACAGACGTTGAAGGCACCGTGTTAGATGGCAAAAACATCTGGACGAAGCGGTTCGGATGTTTGCGGACGCTATAGGGCACGACGATGGAGATGCTCTAAGGAGGAATTGGGCAATGGAAATTGCTTTTATAAAATGTTGTTCACTTTGCTTTTCAATTGTATGCTACATTCAAAAGTTTGAAATATGAAATATAACATATGGTTATCATACTCGAAGATGGTACGTATGTGGCCAGAAGAGTGAACGACGCCATCTCAGACATGGACGGAGCTTCGTTGGGGCCGACCTGGACCGTGGACCGGCTAGGATTTTGGCCAGCTTTTTAATGCATATGGTTTGTAGCCAGTCAACACTAAGCAGGCATCATCACCCCCTTTCACGATCGATCCAAATCCATCCATTAGGGTACATGGAGGCATAGTACCTGGTAATCATGGGCTCCTGGCCAACGTCCCCCTTCAATTGTGATGAGATGCGACTGCTTCTGCTCATCTAGGTGTAGCAGCAGCTAGGCACACATCAAGGAGCAGCAGCCGCTAACGACATCTTGTCAGATCCCGAATCAAACAACTGGGAGGGTGTAAGACTTGCGAACCCACTGTATGGGCACATGCCAGACCGCCAGAGGTTTAGCGGGCAGGCATGAGTAGCACCACAGTGGGAAGCGGCCAACCAACGGCCTGGGCAACGAGCAATCGAGCATAGAATCTCCAGCTGTTTGCAATTGTGAGTCTCGACATATCTCTACTCCTGATGGAGCACTTGGTAGCCTGATACGGTTTATTTTCGTTCGGTTTTTTGTCCCACCTCCCACCACCCCATATCTCACTGGTTTTTTCTTTCTCCCATTAAAAAACCAAATCTCATTAAGAGAATCTTGTTTCGTACTTGTTTTGGCAGACTCTGATTCAATTCAATCCCGTAAATTATAAGTAATTAAGTATTCAGAAATCACATCATATATGTGAGATCACTTTCCTAAAGGACACACATAAGATTTTTCTCGACAATCTACCAAAATAGAATAAGATATTCCTCCATAACAAATCGCTAATCCCGTGCACTATACCATTTATTATCACCATTATATTTATTATTAATTGACAATCACAAGTTTTCTAATATAATAAATAATAATATATCTTTTTTCTTATGAGTGTATGTATCCGCGCATCCCTGCGGAGGGACGTCGTACGCGACACCATGGCTGGACCTAACACTAACATGTTGCTTGAGAATGCCAGGGCGTGGATCACAGTGTTGAGGATGACCGTGACGGAAGGCCGGTCATCAGACCGCCACGTACATATGTTCGTGGACGAGGTCATATTATATTTCTTGTCAGTTTTACAAACAGCAAGACATACTACATTCTCAAATCAAGTGTGTCCATTCAAATGTCAAAAAAATCATGAATGAAATGTGTCATACAATACTCGGTCGTCGTCGTCGTTCGTAGCAGCCATTGATGCGAAAATATATTGAAAATCAAGCATTGAATCAATATGTAGATCAAATCATTAATGCAATTAATCAAATAGACATTTAATTACGTATGCATTCATTAGGCCCATTTAAACAAGATTTTTTTACACCAAATCAATTTGGAAATCGAGTCATAAATGCAATTAATTAATTAAATATAATTATTTATGCCTACAAATAATTAGAAGTAGGAATTTTTTCCCACTTAGGCCTCCTTTGGTTTGTAGGGATCTTATAGGAATTTCATAGGGTAGGATTTTCAAAGGAAAAATTCCTATCAAGCCTTTTGGTTTGTAAGAATGGATTCCTAATTTTATGTAGGATAGGAACCAACCTTCACATTTCAAAGGAAAAAAAATAGCCTAGATTCAATGGAAGAATTCCTATGCTATGTATCAAATGACATGTTTTTCTTTATAGGAATTGAGATGCATGCCATCTCATTTCCTATGATTTTCCAATTCCTATGAAATTCCTATCCTATGAACCAAAGGAGCCCTTAGTCCGATAACTAATTGATATGGTTGATAGTTAATTTGGCATGCAGAGAATTCGGTATGTCATTAATTATTTGTGTACTTAATTAATTATGCAAGCGGTTAATCATGCCAAATTATTTTGAAAGCGCTCGTGGGCAAGGACAATCAACACACTCTCAGCGACATGGTCGAGCACCGCTTGCCAACATAGCAACGACATATTTTAGTGAATTTTTCGAAATTTCAAATATATGAATGGGGTCCGAAATATTTTTAATCCAGAAACTTCGAAGTGGGTTCAAACTAGTTTCAAAGTAAATTTAAATTATTTTAGAATTCATTAAAATTATGTGATATGTGAAACCTCAAAGTCCGAAACAATTTTCAAAATATGCGAAATTTTTGAAATTTTGCATATTTCGGTGCGGTCCGAAATTCTTTTGTTTCCAAAATTAAAAACCTTGACGGCCACCATGCGCTTAGGACATCGGCGACCTAGCGTTCACCAAGATGGATGATGACTATGCTCTGCAGGATGTTCACATGCTGACTATTGTCGAAACGTTCGCGGGTGAGGACAACACAACACAATAGTGAAATTTTGGTTCATGCTATAGTAGAAAGGAAGAGTGTTTCAAGAATTAGAAGGGAAAAAAACTAAAGTGACCAAGTGGTTCATGGTGTTGGAGAACAAAAGAGTGTTCCAAAAAATAAGATGAAAAAAGAAAGAAAGAAAGAGGATTCTAAAAAATAAGTAGGAACGAGAACTAAAGTTGGCGAGGAATTAAGAAGATGAGGTGTCCATGATGAATACACCATTGTTGACATGGTGCTTGTTGGCACCAATAAAATGTCTTGGCGAAGAGCTAAGAGTAGAAGATGTAGGAAAGTACATGAAAGAGAAAAACGGCAATTATCCATTCTAGCATATGTGCGTTGAAGGTGGAGCTTATTGGTGACTAGAATACGTTCATGTTGCCACACGCCTCCAAGGTCAGCGTGCATTTGTTAAATGGAACTTTGAGAACGATCTCTATAATCATTTGTTGTTTTGTGTTAATAGTATAACTTAATTTAACCCAATCTATTATATTGTAAATGTGAAAAATTTCATCTCGATTACAATGCATGACAAAGATGAGGTAAACGTCAAGGAGGTTGCTCCAGCAAGAAATGTCACGCTATGGCGGGAAACAGAATGGGAAGTGGAGGTTTCGATAGAAAAAAGAGAAGATGCATGGGATGGGTTTTTTTTCTCTTGGACTCGGATGCTAGAGATAACATGGTGGATAGCCCGTAGAACGCACGGGCGTTCTACTAGTGTGATCTTATTTCTTCCCAAAATTCCAAGTTGGCTATTTCATAACTATTTTCCCTTCAACTGTTCTTTACATTTCGCAAATGGCAGGGCAAGCCCTCTCCTTTTTATGGAAAGTGAAATAGCCAAAGCCATATGTTGTGGTCACCAACAACATGGTATGAGTATAAG